GACTAGGGCAAAAGCTTAGTCCTTTATTTAATACCCTGAATGTATTGAGGGAAAATTTATTGTTACTCAAATTTATAACTCGCCCGTATGGGTCAAGTTTGAATTTGCAAGCATGGCGAAGTTCTTTTGTAAAAGCTCGAAAGCTTGCATCATATCTCCTATTAGGGATGCTATACACATTATATATATATATATATATATATATATATATATATATATATATATATAGTTCAATGGGTAAATTGTCGCCATTTTATATTTTTTATTTCGCGCATGCGTGTTGCTTTTTTTTATTTTGTCGTCTGTAAGTATAGTGGTGTCAGTTGGGTATCGTCTGTGACAAAAACAGCACCAAGACGCAATTCACACCGCCTGAAATTTGGAAACGGCATGCTATACTGTTTCGCTGATGCACCGGAAGCTCCAAAGCGAACATTTCAGAGTGTTGAGATGTTAATCTGAAGACAGTGCAGAGCATTCGAAAAGACTGGATGAGTCTAACGGTGATTACGAAGTTGTTTGAAATGATCACTAGTGACAGCGACATTATGCCTTCATTCATCTTCTCACGAGGCCTCAGACTCAACACGAAGGTCTATATCAACTGCTTTGAGGAGGTATTGGTGCCCTGTCATGGCTGTCAGACTATTTCTGCGACCACATCACTCCTTACCTCTGGCCACCTTTCTTCCCAGACTACAAACCAATAGATTATGATGTATAGAGGGCAGTTGGGCGAGAGACCAACAAAACTCTTTATAACACCAAAGATGAACTGAAGGCAAGGATTATGGCAGCATTCACCAACTTAAAGAAAGAGACCGCCAGAAGAACTGCAGTGCATTCCGAAGTCGTCTGGAGTCCGTGGTTGGAGCCAATGGTGATTTTATTGAATAAAATTACTCTTTAGTATTTCAAAATATTTTTCTGTAATTTTGGCAAACATGTGTTAAAATGTGATGTCAGTGTTATTTTCATTTTTGCGTAATTTAGACGACAAATTATCCATCGCACCCTGTATATATACGCGCACACACACAAACACGCACACACCCACACATATATTAGGTTGGTGCAAAAATAATGACGTAAGAATGTCGTCTTTTGACGTTAAAAAATACGTCAAAAAACGACATTATTACGTCATTATTTTTGCACCAACCTAATATATATAATGTATGTATGTGCATAAACATTCAGATATAATTAAAAATATATCTATTAAATGACAATATGTATAAAAACAAAAGGAAAACGTGGACTGTGATAAATCCATCAAAGGACGAAACGCGTTGGTAAAGAATAGTTTCCCTTTTGTCTATATATAACACCTTTCGCCGCTGCCTACAGCCAGTGGTGTAACTACATTTAGTGGTCCTCATGGTATTAGAACGACGTTTTAGTCACGGGGCTAACTCTACACTGGTCAATGCTGACGCTGGTCCAAGCTGGTTGTTGGTCACTTATGTCTTCGATCCACACCAACTCTGCCCACGCTGTATTCTTGATTTCAGAGCAATGGAAAATCGAATGTCTTAGTTTCGCAGCGCCATTTTAAGTCGTAGTGAATGCTATATTAAGGAAAAGATATGTCCGCGACGAAAAATAAAAAGAGATTCGTGCGGTTAATTTTCAGTTGGTTTATATAGCTCTTGTTACAACAAAAAAACGATCCTACCCACATCAGTCTCTATAGTGACACTGGGCCTTGTCTAAACTTCTGGGGGCTTGGTTTGAAGTCATGGAATCAGGAACCTGGTGGCAGTTGACGTGGATTTCAGAGGCACTGAATACGAATTCTCAGCCCAATGTCTCTGAGCTCCCCAAAATCATCTGCTAATACGCACTTCGGCCCAAAACTGCCATGGGGTTCTGAGGATTCGGTGATTCCCCGGTTTTCATAAAGATTTTTTTTGTTCCCTATTTCTGCTTTCTTAATTAACTTTGCAAATTTGAAGAATTATCCACCTTGCTCGGGATTAGTCACAGGGATTGTTTCTCCCTTAACTCCAACCTTCTTCACACTGCTACACCGCACAGACGAGTTAAATCCTGCTCTTTCATCCTCGGTATTCTAAACCTGCCCACTTTTCAGGGCTGACATAACTGACTTTTGACAAATCTAATTCTTAAAGTGAGTAATTTCAATTTCAATTTTCTAACTCTTTTCCCGGACCAATCTCTATAGCGAAAACACAAACCAGATCACCTTCATAGTACATGATTAATCTTCATAACTTCAAAAAAAAAAAAAAAAAAAAAAAAAAGAGAGGCTTGTTTTCGTTTCTCAATTTGTTTTTGCCAACAAAAATAGGTTTCTCGTTTGCTTCTCTTTTCGCCAATGACATCTGTTTTTCTAATTTCCCAAGAAAGTGATAAAGCCATTTCCCAATTTGCTTTACACGCATGCCAGATTTTCGATAGATAAAAAAATGTAAACTTCTGGTGCATCGTTCCAATTCGTAGGGTGAGGCAACCTAGATGACTCTTTCTTCACTTCCACACCAGGAAAAATGTCTTCCATTCTCTTTCTATCTCTCTATCTTCCAGTTTAGATTTCATTTTGGGCTTAAACCTTTTTTCTGCTTAGAATTAATGTTTAACCCCCTCACAACCTCAGTGTCACACACACACACACATATATATATATGTATGTATATAACCACTCAGTTTAAATGTAATTTATTTTTAATGCCGTGCTCAATATCCTGAGGACAGAGCCATATACACTTTAAAATTATATTCTAAAAGTGTGACAAGCATACTCTCTTCTATGTGTTGCAGCCCCTCAGGACTCTGGCGATGACGACTCTCTAATTTCGTATTCTTTGTAGCTCCTAATGATTTTTTTTCTTCTTTCTGTTATCTTACCTAAACTCAGTTCCACCATCCATTTACTCAAAATCGTTAGTCAGGTTATGCGTTGTTTTCCTGTCCCTCTTACCTTCAATCTGTCCTGTGGGCATCAAATTTTCCAAGCCCATTTTCCTCATTATGTGTCTTAGAAATTTCAACTGTCTCTTCCTGACGCTAATTATAAATGTACTTTTTGTTTTATTCTTTAAAACTTCATCGTTCGGTCCATGTTATTCTCAGCATCCTTCTGTAGAACCACATTTCTTTTACGTCTAGTCTTCTTTGAGGAGATTGTCCAGCATTCACTGCCATATAGGACGACTGATATTACATAACAGATCAGTACTCTTTTCTTTGTTTAGCTAAAAAGTTTTCTGGTAAACTGGAGCAAGCAATATAACAAGTCACAGTTTTGATTCAACAGATCGTCAGACGCTGAAAATTAAGTCATTTTTAATTTTTCCAGCTTTTTATTTAAAATAATTGAAAATTACCCCAAATTAACTATCGAAAAATCCACCAATAAAAATGATCAAATTTTCCATTCACGGCTCTCCACAATCTCCTACCCCTTGCAACGTTTCTCCTTTTACCAAGCCTCCCCGGTTTCACCATCCATTCACACAAGTCTGTTAGGTAAGTGACCCTATACCTTCCCCTATCTCTCTCGGCCTCTGTATGCCCCGAGAGTGTTATATTTTCCAAACCCTCCTTTCTCACATGTCCGAGAAATTTCAGCTGTCTTTTTTCCGATTCTGAGTAGAAGTTTTTTTTTTTTTTAAAAATCATTTTAAGACTTCCTTGTTGCGTCCATGGAATTCTCAATACTTATAATATTAAAGAATGCAGTTATAATTAAGAAGGCCAGAGCATACAATGGCTGAAATGTTGTAATAAATATGGCGACTAAGATGGGGACAATAGTCCGAATAATGTAAATAGTGCTTAGGTGAGTTTAGGTGGTTAAAAAGGAAATAAAATATTTACTCAATATAGAATTGTAACCAACATTTTTTGTATTTTGTTTCCTTCCACTACATACATGATTTCATCAAAAAAAAAAAAAAAAAAAAAAAAAAAAAAAAACAACAAACATTTAATCTGAAGAACTCCTTTTGAAGCATGAAACGCATGACAGGATTTTCCCCCATTTCATCATTCAATTATCCTTTCTTAATTTGAGTTATTGAGTTGTATATCTTATATCAATAACAAAGACAGGGTAAAACCAGAAATGCTGTTAGTCAGCAGAAGTCTGAAAGAAAGGACATTTAAGGCAAGCAGTCTTTGTAATAAAGGACTCAATATCAGAGCATTGGTGGGATGAAGAGAAATATGAAATTTGTCACTCCACTCATTGATGTTATATTCACCACCACCATTTTCTCATTTTTGTTTTTTTTTTTTTTTTTTTTTTATACTGAGTTAAAAAATAATTTATGCACTTTTTTTAACTGAGTATAAAAATAATGAAAATAAGGTAAAAATCAGCAGTCAATTGCTAAAACCTCCTGACAAGTGGACCAAATGATTACAAAAAGGTCTGTCTACAAAACTCTGGAGTTGCAGCACTGAATATAACATCAATCAAATTTTATATTTGTATTAATTCTATGGCATCAAATATAGATCAGTGTCTGACAGAATAAGATAAAGAACAAATTGGAAATGTTTATCAATCTAAAATGTTTCACTTTATTTGGTTCTGATGAATCTTTAATAAAAGTCATAAATGTTAATATGATAAATGCTTCCTATTTGTTCTTATATATATATATATATATATATATATATATATATATACACACCATCCTCTGTTGAATAAAATCCAGAAAAATAATGGTAAGCCTGGACTTAAAAAGATTAATATTGTAGTGTTTGAGCAAGCATCCATGGGAGAGCCTGTTCTACAAAGTAGCTGTTCTTGAAATGAAGTGGAGTGGGACTTCTTCTTTACAAAAGGAATACCAAGAGAATGAGGGAAATTTGATACTGTGGAATTAGCATAGTGGATGTGAGCTGTAAAGGTCTGCAAGGGTGGAACTAACCAGAAATGAAAGATATACATTAATTCAAAATATTTTATTTCAACAAAAATAAGTATAAAAAATGTGATTGATCGACCAGATAAAAAAAAAAAAAAATCATTTTTTGAGGACTCTTGAAGCAGTTCTAGTTCGAGTAGGCCGGGTAGTGACATGATTGCGAGTATTTAATGCTGGCCTATCTGGCGTGGAGTCTGTGTTTCTGTTGCTGGTGCTTGGATTGGAGCAGCTAGCAGTGTTGGATTCTGAAGAGTAGGCAGAGGAAGTGACTATCAAAGTTCGGGATAAATCCAGGCTAGGGATGGAAGGGATACCTTCCTTACTATTTCCATTTTGGCTGTTGACAGAGTTTGGGGTCTGCACTTGTGCTTTCTGGGCACACATAAGTTTGATCATCTTTGCCAGCATTGGGATACTAACATTCATACGAATGAGATCCAAAATGATCCTGCAATGAAAAGAAAAACAAGTCTTATTAATTTAACTTTAAAAGAACAGTTAAAATTCACTCAGAATATTTAGCAAGATATGTATTAACTGTAAGAGCATAAGAGGGTTAATCTTCTCAGTAAGCAAAGAAAGAGGGGGGTCAGATAGAAAGGAAAATGGGGAAAACTTGGACTTTCATACCCGTCCCTCCCACTAAAAAAAAAAAAAATAAAAAAAAATAAAAAAATACAATGTCAAAAGAATGGTCTTTCCCTTGACACCACTATTATTTGAACTACTTTCACTCCTCGGCAATGTTCATTATTGGAATAATACCTAAACATGATAAAAGTGAATTTATACAGTTTTTTTTTTCTTGAGAATTGATAACAAAAATATAAAAACTTTATCCATTAGGTTGTTTATTTACAAGAATAATTTTATATTTGCAACATTCTAAAAACCAATGCAATGAAATATTTATCATTTAAGAAATAAATATGAAAAGATTTTTTTATTTATAAAGTTATAAACATTTACTTGTGCCACTGAAACCTCATTAATCAAATAAAAAAAAAAGAAAAAAATAGAAGAAAGAGGGAAGAGTCTACTAACTGGATGATAATTGTTAAAATTCACAGGAAGGCGGATTGAGAAGTTAAGAAAATTAAAAATGAAATGTGTTGAAAAATGTTTCAAAATAATAAATAAAATCCCAAATAGTTACAAAGAAGATCCAACCCAAATTTAAGACGGAATGCAGTAAGATGGAGCAAAATCAAGATTTGCTGTTAAGAAAGAGACCATTAATGTATCCTTGAAGATATCAAATAGAAAAACATGTTAGCCGATCACGAAACGCAGGTGGTCACCAAAATAGTATTTACAATTCTTCTGAAAAACATTTGGTTTGAAAGTGTTGCTACAAAGATAGGGATTAGCCTGATGAGTTCATTCATTTTAATTTCTGTGACATTTGTCAAAGATTTTATATCCATTAATTTGGATTCCTTTGGATACAAGTGAGAGAGAGGGAGGTTGGTTGCTGGCTTGGAGTGACCATAAGCAAAAAGAGCTGTGTGGTCTTGTTGACCGAGGCACACATAAACAGAGAGAGAGAGAGAGAGAGAGAGAGAGATAATTCTTTTTATTATTAAAGAGATTGGGAATATTTTTCTTTTCCACACAAAAATCTTGAGATAGGCCAGTGCACATGGGGGTGGGGGTTGTCTGGATGGGCTCTGAGAAAATCCCTGGCTTTGGGAAATCACAGCATGAGACAAGATGACAAAAAAAATAAATAAATAATGACTGGAAATCTGCTTTTCACCTACACATTCTGAAAGTTTGGATTTGTTACAGAGCTGGTATGCTGGCCCTTGGAGTGGGCTGAGGTTTAGATGCTGATAAAGTGGGAGAAGAGAGAGAGAGATTAGTACCGCCTATATGGAGCAATGGTGAGAGATGAGACGTGAAGAGAATCCCAGTTACAGGGTGGCTTGTTTCCTCTAACCACTCTCAAAAGAGAGCTGGACAACACCTAAATTTGGAAAAATCACTCGAGCAAACATATTTTGAAAATATGAAATTTTAGAAAAAGGTTGATACTAAGGGTAGAAGATAACCAAACCCAAGGTCTGGTCAACCCCAACCCTACCAGACACAGGACTACATATAAGCTAGAGATTTGGACAACTTGAACAGTCCCTACAATACCGCTACTGGAATCCACATCATTCACTGAGACCTCCTGACCAAAACCTTGTGCCAGCCCTAAAGAGCAGAACTTGGAAATTTAAATTACTGCTAACACAAGCTGCAAACTCTAAAAGGACATCCCAGTGTTATTTGATTATAACAGTAACAGTGGGAAGGGTTAAAACCAGTGTATACAATGAATCAGATATAAACCAAATTGTTGTTACATTTTCAACCAGAATAATTCTTTATTCCAAAGAATTTTTTGTGTAGCACCTCATTGTCAACCTGTCCTTTGATTCAATTTACTTCATCAGGGATTTTCATACACTGACAGTGTGGCAGAGGAGTGAAGGATTGTGAAGGGCCAGAAATGCCAACTAGATCGAGTGGAACCATGCTCATCAACACAATACCAGTGATCAATCAGCAATGTGTTAATGAGTGAGCGGTCAGTTAGATAGTAACCACAGGGGATAAAAGAAACTTGAGGGGACTGGACTACATACTAAATTCTTAAAATATGTGAACCAACTATAAGGAACTCCTTATTTAGTATTTTAGAAAGTTTGAATCAATTGGCAATTAGCCAATATTTTGCCAACCATTCCAATAAACAATCTGATAAATAAATAGTGTAAAGAATCTAATAAGTTGTTTATTATTTATAAAGCAAATGCAGAAATTCACTTTCATCATATGTTAAGGTTTATTAAAATACTAATCACTTTTTAAAGCCAACATTGTCAATTAGTTGTGCCAATGGAAAAACTTTCCTCTTGACACTCCATTTATTTTTGCAGGCATGAAAGTCCAAGTTTGCCAAAAATGGATTCAAAATAACTGCTTATATATATATATATATATATATATATATATGAAGAAATTTTGAAAAAACAAACAAAAATCCTTAAATGTAGTTAAAATGAAAGAAATGTCGACGTCTGACGTTTCGGTTTAATAAACCTTTTTCAAGACAATATTCATCAAAATACAATTCAGTTCAATATGACAAATACGATGGACATAAAAACACAAGTCTTATTCAGAACAGATAACTGAAAATTTTAAAATGATCAGCCTTCCGTCTAACATGGTCACGCCTGGTCGTCACATGGGCGACGCTTTCATAACGATATTCCTAAAAGTTTGTGATTATTTTGAAATGAAAAGAAAATGAAAAGAATTCTATTAGGTTCTAAAATTCTTATGTGTATGCTTGTCGAGCATCAATCTCGCTAAAAAAGGGAAATATTAAAAGAAACCAGGTCTAGTATTCACCGTGCGTGAGATGGATATTATACCTGCTTCATAAATCCTCCTGAGATTTTTATTATGAAAATATTTTAATACTTTTTTCGATTCCGTGAAAGTATTAAAATATTTTCATAATAAAAATCGACATTTCTTTCATTTTAACTACATTTAAGGATTTTTGTTTGTTTTTTCAAAATTTCTTCATTCTGTCGGATTTATATCCATTTACACTTGCTTATATTATATATATATATATATATATATATATATATAAGTTGATAGATCAACCGTATGGCAAAAAAGAGCTACCAAAGACTTGTCCAATTCAGGTTTGTCCAAGATTAATGGCTTCTGGTTATGCGTGAAATCAGAGATAAAGGAACATTGTAAAGTCAAATCGTAAACACACTGGATGAACTGAAAAGTGATCCCAATTTCGTGCCTAATCAAGCATTACTCATTGATCTTATGGACCATTTAATCCTACTAATCTTGAAGCACCAGGTCCCAAAACAGATTATCAAAATGATGTACTACAACATGAAATCTTTCAAACATAAACTTATTCTGGGTAAAGCAGCTTGCAGGCATCAATGTAGTTCACTTCACAGTAACGCTGAATAGTGCATGAAAGAATAATTTTAAATCTGCATGCAGAATTTGATTGCTGTTTTCAAAACTTTTTGGCATTAGATAAGAATTTCTGCTTTTTGCAACTTCATTGCCTGTGAAGGTTGATAGTATTTCTAGTGAATTTCAAATGAAATTCGATGTGATACCAAACCTGAAATGAAAATATGTGGAGACCAGTATTAAAGGTTTACATCAGTTCATTCAACATGTGATTTCATAACTTCTTTGTAAATTCTGACCGTGTTTGGAAATGTCTCCTAAGCATGGAAAGCAGAAGAATCTGACACTGCAAACTGAATAAAGTGTTCAGTTCTAAGAAAGTTACCAAGAGTAGTAAAAAAATAAAACATATTCACAAATCCACTCTTCCCATAATTGTTTCTTTTTTTTTTTTTTGCTCCTATTTATTCACTGACTTTAGATGCATCTGTAGGCAGGTATGGTAAACTGTAAGCAGCCCATCAGTTATTTCATCACCGTATTCCATTATATACGACTAAATGAGCCTGCTCTGGTTTTTCTTTGAATCATGGAGCCAACTGAATCTGTAGGTGCACACCTGCAGCATTTTTTCTTTAGGATAGATAAAACACCAGAAGAAGGCTCAAGAGTACAACGGCTAAAGTATTGTGAGTGCAACAACCAAGATGCACATACGGATGCAAATAACAAAAATTGCTCATCTCAAAAATTCTAACAAAAAATTGAGTTTTTACAGTCTGAAACAAAGCCAATTCCTGACAATGTATTTTCAATATACAGGCTTTATAATGAAATATTGTATGATTATAAATATTATGATATACAAACAGGGCCAGTGTTAAGGTCTTGTGAGCCCCCACTGAATCTATGATATGAGGCCCACTCACTTTATTAAATCTCAATTTTTCATAAAGTAGTATTTATATAAAATATGAATTTTATTGTAACCTAATTATGTACAATAATGCATCATATACAATACAGGTGAACAAATCAAGTAAAAAAATTGAAAATAATCTATTTAAATACAAATTAGAGACTTGTCATAATAGATTGTTCCATTTTAAATAAATCAACAATGTTTTGATGCAATTTTTAAC